TTATAATCGTGCTGTATAATGCAGCACAATATCACCGCTTGGAGAAGATGGATATCCAGGGCGGGAACGGGAGAAGGGAGAGGGGCGAGAATAGCGAGTGGAGGGGGTAAGGCAAGGGCAGGGAAATATGATGGAGTGCCTCAAATTTTGATGCAAAAACGCATGATCGCACCGGCTCGCCTGGTGCGTTCCAGCTTGGGTTTTTTTTGCCGATGGTTCAGTTGATAGTGCCATTTTAGCTAAAAACCATAAACCTCATCAGTTCAAGTGTCTGTATGTTCTGTCAGTGGAAACTGAATCCCAGCAGTGGGTAGGGAAAGCAGGACAACGTTTTCTGTCGCGTTGTAGTGCAGATGCTACGCAGCCTTGTCAAAGCGTTTCTGCAGAGTGAACTATCGAACTGGAATCTCCAAAGGAGAAAAGGGTGTTAGTACTGCCGGCAGAATGACCACCAAGTGATGCAACATCGACCAAAGCAAGTGGAAGAAAAAACTGCATATTTTAACAATTACAGTGTTAACTACAGCCGATCAGGAAAAAACTCGAAAAAAAATTTTTTTTCTAATAATTAAAGGTTTTTGCAATTGCGCTTCACTATTTGTTTTAAACTGATGTTTTTGTGTGTGAAAACGATATCATTCCAGACTTATAAAACACCGTCTGTATATAGCTGTGATAGTGATGAATGCCGAGCATGCAGATTGCTAATCAACAACGCGTTTGCCACTGCAAGCGGCGACAGTTTCCTGAGTGCTGTAACTCAAACGTCTGATGAGATAGATGAATCACTATGTTTCAAACGAAGGAATCTCAAAAATCCAGTATGTTGAGGACATTCTTATCGACTGGAAAAAAATGAATAGAGTTATTTGGATGAGTTTTTGAAGTCTTGAGAAAGAATAGGAACTAGAAGCTAACGGCCTAAGGCACAAGGAATCCAACTTGACTGCACTTGGATTCGGACTGCATTCTAGTAACATTAACGGCTTTAAACTCCGGGCGTTTTCTTTCAAATTTTTAAGAACATCTGTATTATACTCAGGAGGAAGTCCCGATCAACAAGTACAAGATGCAGTTGTTTTAAAGATAACTGTATTTCATGTCAGAGCAGTTTTGCAACAGTGTTTGAGGTTACAGATCCGTGAAGCTGCCGAAAATGCTACAACAACCAAAGAGCCACCTGCATACTTAGAGGAAGTGATCAATTTGTTGACGCCGAAAGCGCGAAAACGAAGAAGTCGAAAAGATATGAAACAAAAGTGTGCGTGCCCTACTAAGAAAAACATAATTCAGCTGTCATCAGGAATAGGTCACCTTTTGTAGAATAGCGGTATTAAGATATATTTCATAGACTGAACCTTCTTTTGCAAATGAATATGAACCGGAAGAGGATCGAACCATCCGCCTTCACATTTGGACTTTCTAGATTATCACACCATTGGCTTTTGTGCACCAGACCAACTTGGAAGCACTTCTACTGTGTATCTGCCTTTAGCATATACCTACTTTTGCTTATGTGTGGCTTTCTGGCACGGGCAGTAAATTCTTTTTGCTGCAGCTTCTGCCGTCTTTTCGTGGGTTTTCCACCACAGCATGACTGTTTTATTAACACCGAAAATTAATTTTTCTGATGCGTCAAAAGTCGGAATTCTTACTTTCGCTGCTTC